CCTGGAGTCCCAGCTTTTTCGGGCCGGGACGCCGCCTGGCGGAGGTTTGCACACTTTGCGGCTAAACGGCTCATCTGCTTCGAAAGGAACGCGGAATTCGACTTTGACTTTGCGTGCTTTCGGCACTTCACTTAGCACGAGGCAGAAATATCTCCTCAAAAGTCATCGTCGCCAATCGCACTGGGACTATGCGAGATCGCAACAGCACGCTCTAAATCGGTCCTCTGCTTCAAAAGGAACGCTAAATTCGACTTTGACTTTGCGTGCTTTCGGCAGTTTACATCGCACGATGCTAAAGAATCTCCTCAAAGGTCATCGTCGCCAATCGCACGGGGACTATGCGGGATCGCAAGGGCACGCTCTAAATCGGTCATCTGCTTCAAAAGGAACGCGAATTTGACTTTGGCTTTGTGTGCAATCGGCACTTCACGTAGCACGAAGCTAAACAATCTCCTCATGGGTCATCGTCGCTTATCGCACTGGGACTATGCGGGATCGCAAGGGCACGCTCTAAATAGGTCCTCTGCTTCAAAAGGAACGCAAAATTTGACTTTGACTTTGTGTGCTTTCGGCACTTTACGTAGCACGATGCTAAAGAATCTCCTCAAAAGTCATCGTCGCCTATCGCACTGGGACTATGCGGGATCGCAAGGGCACGCTCTAAATCGGTCCTCTGCTTCGAAAGAAAGGCGAAATTCGATTTTTACTTTGCTTGCTTTCGTCCTCTGCAGCGAGATCGGGGAGTTCGATTAGCTCGCTCGCAACGAGTGGTGACTCGCCGCGACTCCCGCGGTCGCGGCGAGTCGCAGGGTTTCATAAGGGTCCTTATCGTGTTATATTCACAAAATTTTCACCTTTTTCATTCGGATATGGGTAAAGAAACGAACTAATTGTTTCAAATGTGATGGCCGGGCGTTATTATTGCTGTGAAATGACGATTTTTTCACTGTTTTGATCGGAGCGCTAGGTCGCGCCGCGCCGGCCTTGAGGGGCCGGGCAGGCAGAGAACGACTCAACGGCCATTAGGGGCCCAAAAGCATAGTCAAAAGACGTGAGAACCGGAATGGACTTAAAAAAAATTTTTAAATTATTCTATCGACATGAAAAAAATAAAACTTATCCTAAAAAGTTTCAAAAAGTAGCCTCTACGCGATCGGCCAATCGGTCCGAGTTGGGCCGGGCCCGTTTAAACCGTCAAACAACCAACCGTCACCAACTGTCACCCCAAAGGGTTTTTAAAACTCGTCCCCCCCGATTCCGATATTCCGATGTGACCCCGGGTCACTTCTTTCTCTCATCGTTCAAGGTACGCATCAGCCCCATTAGCGACTTTTACAAGTGTTCTCTTACGATGCTATTATATTTGGCTGATTTAAAGACATTAATGCCCGGCAGTTAGGCGTCGATGCTAATGAACGGGCTCAAATTTTGTTGCTTTTCGCCAACTCTCAAAAGCTTGGCACGCGTTCACAGCATCCTCGCTTAGTCCTTTTGCCACCAATATCCATTTATTTTTAAAAAACTACATTTTTGTGGAGGTTTCCCTGCAAAACCCTAGACAAAATTAGGGGTGGACGCCTTTAAATCGTTTTTTTTTTTGTAAACACAGTGCTTTCTCTTTTTTTGCAGATGCCAAACCGCCGTAGGATTCGCTTGCCCGTGATGAAGATCAAAAGGAGTTCCTTTTGGGGGACATGGAGCAGAACATCCCCTTTTGCCAAGGGGAGTTTACTGGTCCCATGGGAAAGGAGGAGCTTCGGAAAGAATGGGATTCTCTTGCTTTGCTACTAAAAGAAGTCCCTGGTGCTAATAAAAATGGACCGAAATGGAAAACTGTATGTATGCCTCATGAACAAATTCCTCATAATAAGTACCTAGATTGTTGCTTGTCATTTTAAGACTTGTTTGTTTTTGTGTTCCATACAGTACTGGTCTGATATGAAAGATGCTGTGAAACAAGCCGCTCAAGAGTATACCCGTATTTCTAAGCGAGGGACTGGCGGAGGGCCCCCTCCACCTGAACTAAGTGATCACCAGTTACGGGTGTTAACCTGTATGGGGGGCTGGAAACGAGTAGTTGGCTTCATGGGCGCCAAAGATCCACTTCAGGTATTGCTTTAGGCTGTGCCATCAAACACGCTTAACTTTTCCTCCAAAAATCAATTGATGGTTTTATTTTTCAGATTGAGATGAATCCATCAGGAAGCTTATCTGCAATCATGAAACGCAGCAAAATTAATGTAAGTCATACAGAATAAAGTCACTAGTCTGTTACCTTTAAGGGAGCATGCAACTACAGCAAATCACTGTCCAATTATGTTTGCCCGGTATTAGAATCTAGGGTGGCAGTTAATTTGACCGTTGTTGCAGAACCATCATATTACTCCAGAAAGATCGAGTTCCAGAAGACGGGACAGCAGATCTACTTCATCTGGCTCAAGATCAAGAGGGAGGAGCTCTAGAAAAAAATCGAAATCCAGTTCCAGAAGGCGGCACCGCAGATCTTCTTCATCTAGATCAAGATCAAGAGGGAGGAGCTCTAGAAAAAAATCGAAATCCAGTTCCAGAAGGCGGCACCGCAGATCTTCTTCATCTAGATCAAGATCAAGAGGGAGGAGCTCTAGAAAAAGAACGAGATCCAGTTCCAGAAGGCGGCACCGCAGATCTTCTTCATCTAGATCAAGAGAGAGGAGCTCTAGAAAAAGAACGAGATCCAGTTCCAGAAGGCGGCACAGCAGATCAAGAGGGAGGAGCTCTAGAAAAAGAACGAGATCCAGTTCCAGAAGGCGGCACAGCAGATCAAGAGGGAGGAGCTCTAGAAAAAGAACGAGATCCAGTTCCAGAAGGCGGCACAGCAGATCAAGAGGGAGGAGCTCTAGAAAAAGATCGAAATCCAGTTCCAGAAGGCAGCGCAGCAGATCCACTTCATCTAGATCAAGATCAGGATCTGCTTCAACTTCTGCTGGATCAGCCAAATTTTGGGACGTGATAGGTTAACTACATACTTATGGATGTGCAGATTTCGCAGGATGTTAGGGTGGCTAGGGGTGGGGATTTTTTGGCTTAAATTCACATTTTTGGCGTCTTAATCAAATTTTACTGTTTCCAAATTCGTTCAAAGTGCACCAACTTTTAGGGAACCCCAATGCATCCAGTTTACTTGCAGGGTGTGCCACTGGTGGGCAAGGGCTCCGACGTGTCACAATCTGCAAGTGAACTGGTTGTCCTTGCTTTCTTTACCTCATTCATGTTGCAGTTAAGTTGTTAGTTGTTGACCGAGGGTGCAAATACATTTAAAAGACCTGCTCGCCAACCCACAGGGGGTGGGGGTTAGGGGGAGTGAAGAACTCCCTCGTAGCAGGCAGTTCAAGGGCCCTTGCTCCCGGGGTGGGGCCTGGGGGAAGCCATGGACCTAAAAAATCCATGGTGATCTGTTACCCTAGCAGTGGCCCCCAGGCGCCTCACAGTAACGCCGCCCAGAGTTGAGGGAGAAGGGTAACCATTTCAATAGTTCATTTATACCCCTAGCCAAACAATATTCGTCTTCGGACACTTTAGTTTCTTTTTTTTTTCTTTCCTGCGAAATCTGCACATCCATATACATACTGCTCAATTGGTTTGTCAATTTTGTGCCATCTGCAAGGTTGAACAAATTTTTTCTCTTGAATTCAACTAAAAATTATAGTAGTATGTCCTTGCAGTAGTAGCATGTACTGTGATTTGTACTAATACAGGGTAATTGAGATAACCTCAGACAAGAAGAAGCATTTCTTCTTTTCTCCTCCTTGTCCAGCATCAGCTCAACTACTCCATAGGTTTATGGCCTATCTTATGTTGAAGCAAATGTTTCATTAATTTCCACATTAGTGTGAATTGGCTATATGTAATTTTTTAAAATATTAGAACGCTCACTGTACTGCTGTTCATTGTGATTTGTATTGTGATAATTAGTTGAGCTAACCCCGGACAAGAGGAAGCATTTCTTCCATTTTTGTCCTTGTCTACTCTATAGGTTAATGGCCTATCTTATGTCCAAGCAAATATTTCACTAATTTGCATGTTAATGTTAATTGGCTATCCTGTGTGATTTTTTATTTATGAGTTAACTACTTACTGCTTAATTATTCTGTCAATTTTTTGTTATCTGTAAGATTGAACAATTTTTTTCTTTTGTACTCTGAGAAGCTACTAAAAACCATAGTAACAAGTTCCTGCAGTATTAGCATGTACTGTGATTTGTACTGATACAGAGTAGTTGAGGTAACCCTGGACAAGAAGATGGATTTCTTCCTTTCTTCTTCTTGTTCGGCATTTGCTCAACTTCTCTATCGGTTTATTGCTTTTCCTACGTTCAAGGAAATAATTCACTAATTGTCATGTTAATGTTAGTTGGCTTTATGTGATTTTTTCAATAAAATAACTGTTTACTGCTTAATAAGTCAATTTTGAGTTATCTGTAAGATTAAACAAATTTTTTCTTTTATACTCTAAGAAGCTACTAAAAACTAAAGTGACAAGTAATGGCTTGTATTGTGATAAGTAGTTGAGCTAACCCTCGACAAGAAGAAGTATTTTTTCCTTCCTTCTTGTCCAGCATTAGTTCAACTACTCTTTAGGTTTATGGTCCATCTTATGTTGAAGCAAATGTGTCATTAATTTCCACATTAGTGTTAATTGGCTATATATGATTTTTAAAAATATTAGAACGCTCATTGTACTGCTGTTCATTTAAATGGCATCTTGTTTTGTTAATTTCAGTTGTGTGATTTGCCCACCTTATTGTAACAAGATGTGAATAAAGGAGCCATTCAAGTTTTGGAGTCCCTTTCTTTTCCTGATCTATATAAACTGTCTTGAAGTGTTCATACGAAACTTGGGTGGTAAGGCGGTTTTTTATGTAGATGACACAAATATAATTATTAAAGGTGACAGCCTTTAATGATATTCTCAAAACTGCAAAATCCATTGTAAACAAGGTAGCTAAACTTTTTAAATCCCCGAATCATGTTGATTGATGTAGTTAAGCTGAGTATTAGTAGGAAGTATTACCGGTTACATCTAGGTGCAAATTACCTCCTACTTCCAACAGTAACATCATCATAAACAGTCTAAACAAAATTCTCAATATGTACTTAAAACCAGTGCCATGTAATCATCATCTATTCTTCATACAAATAAAAAAATTACTTTCAAACAATACGACTGACTATCAATTACCATTTAATACCTACAGTACACCTTAAGGTAGAACCATGTTGATTGATGTTCCTTTCTTCTTTTTTTCTACCACAAATATGCAGTCCATTGCCTACTGTCGCCGCAGCTCCAGCTCATTGACAATTTCCTGACGCACTTGTTGTCCACGGATTAGGATGGCTCGTTGTTGCCTCCTACCTTCTGGCACATCTTCATCATCCAAATCATCATCGTCCTCTTCAGGTTCTTCTTCGTTTACATTAACATTTCTGAGGAGATGAGCACCTTCTGCATAGTGCGTCAAATTAGCCAGGACACACAAATTATGAAGCACAACTGCACCATTTATGAACTGTGCAACTTTCACATAGTCATAATGCAGAGTGCGCTCATCATTTATGCACCTGAAAAACAAAGCGTTGACAATTACTTACATATTTGGCATGACAGAAATCATGCAAGTTACAATTTCAGTGATCAGTATTCCCACTTAAATTACCTCCATCGTTCCTTCAAAAGGCCAATAGTCCGTTCTACAACATTCCTGTCACTGCAATGAGCCTTGTTGTACCGGGACTCTGGTGTGTTATCTTCTGTTTGCCGGAATGGCGTCAACATCCAGGGCTGCTGTGCATATCCCGTATCTCCTACAGTACCGGATAAAATGTCAAGTAAAAAGCAGAGGCAAGTGTGGGGACTGCTACCCTTTGAGAAAACAAGGCCAAAGTTTACCAAGAAGATGACAGCGGCGCCTGTTGTAGAAGTTGATCATTCTGTGACGCAGTGCACTACCGGTGAAAATAAAAGAGTCCGCTGTGGAGCCAGGGAAATTTGGCACAACATTTGTAATGTACATTCGTCGGTCACATGTCTAAAATTTAATCGAAACAGAAAACAGAAAAAGTCATTTTTTGAATGGGTTTGGTTTTACATGAAAACCCAAAAGCAGTGTTTACACTTACAATCTGAGCGTTGATGCAAGGCACTCCTTTTCTGCCGGTAAATGCATGCTTATTGTTAGCAAGTGATGGGGATTTAATTTTTATCAATGTCCCATCAGTGCAGCCGACCACATTCGGCAGTTGGCCTCCAAGATTCTGGTTCCTGTTCAGAATAATACCTAATCAAAATATTAAAATCTTTTGGAAACGCTGCAGAGCAAGGTGCATGGTGAAAAAAAAATGTATGCAACACTCTTTAGTCAGTTTAAGAAAGTATTCACAATTTTTTTTACAGGAGTAGGTCCAGCACCTTTCAATGCAGTGGTTAAGTTCTTGCACAGTTGATGGAAATCTGATGAAGTGAGTAAGGATTGCATCTTCATTTAAGGCATTGGTTACTTCTGTGATGTATCCACTCAATGTTGGCTGGGCAATGGGGCAATCAAATTGCTTTCCAGTTGGTGTTTGATAAGAACCCGATGCATAGAAACTAAGCACTGAAAGAACCTGCAAGACAATATGAACCATTTTATTAATATTTGCTAAAATTTGCTATTTTTAGACAAAATTATGACATAAAAATTTAACTAGTATCTGGATGATGTTTCCGTGCCTTGAGCTCAAGGGGTACCGCTAGAGCGCTTGTGGTCGGTCTAACAAAGGGACGCAAGACATCGATCAGACTTAGAGCCAGATCTTGTGACAGTCTGTAACTGCTCACAAATGATTCGTAGGTGACATCAAATGGGTTCCTTGCATCTCTCAGGCCTCGACGATGTACCCTGAGGACCCATTTCTGCCTATTTCGCTCCTCATTGTATACATATTGTGGGTTCAATGGATCCATGGCAATAAGTTCATCTTCTTCCGCGTCATCATCTAGGCGATGAGGGTCGTCCATCTCGACAGGGACAAACTTTTCTGGGTAACGTTTGGCCTGTGACCCTTGAGACAGGAAGCTCAGGGCGAACGACGCGACGGAATGTCTGTTTTTCCAATACCTGTTCAAAGAATTGAGGAATTACAACTCTTATCCATCCAAGTACACACACCTCAAACCCTTGGCTTCAAAAATAGACTCTAAATGTAGAGTTCACAAACAAGGGGATATTTACAAAAGCTTGCATTCAAACATGCAGACCATGTTTACCAAAGTTTGTATACAAAGAAGCAGACGATGTTTTCAAAACTATGAAAATAAACAAGGAGACGATTGTTACAAAATTATGGAAACAAACAAGCAGACTGGGTTTTGTTGATTGTTTATATTTACTCCAGCAGACGATAACACGATTCCACCAACCCACCAGCAAAACAAAGTGTCTTGACAAAATTTTAAAAGTTCTAAATTAACTTGTGGTGGGGTAATGTTGTTTCATACGCGCTTCCTTTCCTTTAATATGCATTTTTCTATCAAGAGTTCGTCAAATATGGGTAAATATACCGTAGCAGATTTGCTCGCGTTCCTAACGCGGGAGGATTCGGGGATTCGGTTGCTAGGCAACAGCTTGTTTACGAGCGCGACTCTCTCTCAAAGCCGGCTTTTTGACACATGTACTTAAGAAAAAAGCTGATTAGAATCAAGAAATTTTTCCATAAGGTTTTACGGATGGAGCCAGGTAAGAGCAACCTTCTTGCAGTGCACCCATCGTTCCGCTAATGCCCAACGGCGTTTTTCGCATACCCCGCCGATTCAGAAAGTGTGGACAAGGTCCCGACTGGAACCTTGGAGGAACAGCTCCTTTCCTCTCAAGCTGGAACCTTACCTGTGGATGCCATGGCCGGTCCCTCCACATCGGCCTTAGCGCGTGGTGCGTTCCGCTCCCTCCAACTGGCGCGTCCTGGTTTGCCGCGGTCAGTGAGGTGGAAGTCCAGGATACCAGTGGCAACTCCGTGGTGGTAAGTTAAAGCATTAATTTGTTCGAGTTCAAAATTATGCTCAGCATTTCTTGTCAAACAAAAACTCTCTTATTCTGTAATAAGTATCCAACAGGGTTACTAAGCAAATGCAATTTACAGGAGGAGGTGCTTTCCCCACTGCAATGCCAAACTCAAACAAGAGATACAAGATATTGAGGACGGGGTGGAAGATATCCACTTAGAAATGAATTTATTGAAGGACGAGGTGAGCTCCGTAAAGGAAGAAATTAAGGTTTTAGTCGACGAAGTTGGGACTGTTAAGGAGGAACTGGGAGCCTTGAAGGATGAGTTGGGGTCATTGAAACTTGACATGCAGGATTTAAATGAGGCAGTAAAATTGGTTTTGCATCAACAAGAAGAAGAGCGAGCTCTCCGCTTGGCGTTCCAAGAACGTTTCTTACAGGCCCTCCAAGACATTAGAAATTTAGATACCAAAGTCACTAGTTTACCTGATATTGAAAATGTATAAGAAAAACTTAAAAGTTACTGTTTGTACCTGTTAAGTTGCTGGATGAACAACGCTTGTGCATCAATTTCCACACATGTTGTGTAAATTGATTTGTTATTTGTAACCACTTCCATGGTCAGGAAGCAAGCTCTCTATGTGACTTGTCCTCTAGATTTAATTGTAAGATATAAGTTTTAATTTTATAATGTATGTTGACTGTGAATGTGCATTTAACGTCCATGAGTATGGTTTTGCCAAGCCTCAGACAAGTACTTTAATCCCATGAGGCTGCATCATCCATACTTTGGAGGAGATCCTCCCTCCGATAATTTTCAATTAGATTGCCATATTACCACTGTGTTATCACATATCAAAATGAAGAAACCAAATGTAGAAAATGGAATGAAAAGGTGTATTTTATTTTTGACATGGACATTTTAAACTACTTATTAGGCAACAAATGAGCATGCATACTTAATGGAATATATTATAATTTAGCATTTCATAGTGGACACAGCCCAAAAAAATCATCAAACTCAATCCATCATCTACTTTAACATTGGATATCATCATGTATTTACCTTTGAATTTACCTAAGAGTTAAAGTTAATATGAGTTCACATGGGCTCCTTTGTTTCGTACACTTTTTTATACACATCTTGTAACAATAAGGTGGGCCAATCACAAAAATAAAATTTAGTGAAATTAACAAAACAAGATGCCATATTTTAAAAAAATCACATATAGCAAATTCACATTAATGTGGAAATTAATTAAACATTTGCTTCAACATAAGATAGGTCAGAAACCTAAAGAGAAGTTGAGCTAATGCTGGACAAGAACAACAAAGGAAGTAATGCTTCTTCTTGTCCGGGGTTAGCTCAACTACTTATCACAATACAAATCACAGTACATGCTATTATTGCAGGAACTTCACTATAGCTTTTAGTAGCCTCTTAGAGTTCACAAGAGAAAACTTGTTCCAGATAACTCAAAATCGACAGAATAATTAAGCGGTAAGTAGTTAACTTAAATTTTATAAATCACATACAGCCAATTAACATTAACATGCAAATTAGTGAAATATTTGCTTGGGTGTAAGATAGGCCATAAACCTATAGAGTAGTTGAGAGAATGCCGAACAAGGAGAAGAAAGGAAGAAATGCTTCTTCTTGTCCCAGGGTTAGCTCAACTACTCTGTACAAATCACAAAAGAAATTTTTTTTTCAATCTTACAGATAACTCAAAGTTGACAGAATAAATAATCAGTAAGTTAACTTAAATTTTATAAATCACATATAGCCAATTAACATGAACATGCAAATTCGTGAAATATTTGCTTGGGCATAAGATAGGCCATAAACCTATAGAGAGAAGTTGAGATAATGCCGGACAAGGAGAAGCAAGGTAGAAATGCTTCTTCTCGCCCAGGGTTAGCTCAACTACTTATCACAATACAAATCACAATACATGCCTGCAGGAACTTGTCAATTTAGTTAATAGGAGCTTCTTAGAGTACAAAAGAAAAAATTTGTACAATCTTACAGACAACTCAAAATTGACAGACTTATTTAGCAATAAATAGTTAATTTATTTAAATTTAAAAAAAATATATAACAACAAAGAAACAACTACTGTACACAGGAAGTATTAGAAAATCAAAAATTTTTTAAACAGTAACTCATGACTTTGGCAAATTTGTTATATTGTTTAGAGGGAGAACTACATTATAAAGTTTACCACTGAGGTTTCTCTGAACAATTCGGAATTGTTTTCCAGCATAGGTAAGGAACTTGGATCCAGAAGGTGATGATATTGCAGCAGGGAGATACAATTCATTTAGTTGATGGCTTGCAGAAGCAACACCTAAAACAGACAAACACGGAAGGTCAACACTACAACTTATGTAAGCAAAATTTACCCTACTAAGTTCCAATCCATGGAAATGGAAACGTGTCAAGTAGGTACCTGTCTTTACTGCAGCATCTGAACCAGGGTTGGCAAATTTATAGGATCCAATAGGGGTTGTGGTTGTAGCCAAAGTTGTTCCTTTCTGATAACCAGAGGAAACCGCTGAAACACATACACAAAACAGAGTAAGCACCAGCACACAATTATATACTTAAGGGTGCAAAGTTGGCGTTCTAACAAAAGGGCCATTCAATCTTTAAAAAGAAAATGTGTCCAGTAAGTACCTGTCTTTACTGCAGCATCTGAACCAGGGTTGGCAAATTTATTGGATCCGATAGGGGTTGTGGTCGTAGCCAAAGTTGTTCCTTTCTGATAACCAGAGGAAACCGCTGAAACACATACACTAAACAGAGTAAGCACCAGCACACAATTATATACTTAAGGGTGCAAAGTTGGCATTCTAACAAAAGGGCCATTCAATCTTTAAAAAGAAAATGTGTCCAGTAAGTACCTGTCTTTACTGCAGCATCTGAACCAGGGTAGGCAAATTTATTGGATCCGATAGGGGTTGTGGTCGTAGCCAAAGTTGTTCCTTTCTGATAACCAGAGGAAACCGCTGAAACACATACACAAAACAGAGTAAGCACCAGCACACAATTATATACTTAAGGGGGGACCCTGGTGAAAAAATGACCAAAATTGCCAAAAATAGTATTTTCAAAGTTCATAGATAAAAATGTGCGTAGAAGGTTTCAGATTCAACAGGTTGAACACCTTTAAACTATGTGGGTAGTTCCTTCATCATTTGGAAAGAAATAACATTGAGATCAGTTGTCGTTGGCTTATACGCTCAACTTCACAGCTTTGCTCAGTCGACAAAAAATTTTGTCGTAGAAAGACTTCCTGCGTTCCTGGTTGACACCTACATGAGTCGTCTTGCATGGACTCTATTCATTGATGACTTATCGACAAATTTTAGTGACGGAATCTTGATATCAGCCCTACTTTTTTTAACACACACCTCAAAGTTTCAAAAAAAGGCAAAAAATTCACTTTTTTTAAACGTTTAAATTTGAAAATTGATATCTCAGGACAGAAGATGAAATTGAAAATTCCGTCACTAAAATCTCTTCTATACATCTTAAGGATAACCCAAAAAAATTTTCAAGACTTTCCGTTCCAATGAAAGACGCAGGAATATTTTTCCCCAACGCTCTAAAAAACACTAAAAAGCCACTTTTCTCAGAGACCGTTCAACATTTTAGATTGAATTTTGTTTTATGAACTCACCATAATGAACCTTATAATCAAGCAAAGTTTCAACTTTCTGGGATTATTTTAAAGCCTACTTGAAAGTTTCACCAGGGTCCCCCCTTAAGGGTGCAAAGTTGGCATTCTAACAAAAGGGCCATTCAATCTTTAAAAAGAAAATGTGTCCAGTAAGTACCTGTCTTTACTGCAGCATCTGAACCAGGGTAGGCAAATTTATTGGATCCGATAGGGGTTGTGGTCGTAGCCAAAGTTGTTCCTTTCTGATAACCAGAGGAAACCGCTGAAACACATACACAAAACAGAGTAAGCACCAGCACACAATTATATACTTAAGGGTGCAAAGTTGGCATTCTAACAAAAGGGCCATTCAATCTTTAAAAAGAAAATGTGTCCAGTAAGTACCTGTCTTTACTGCAGCATCTGAACCAGGGTTGGCAAATTTATTGGATCCGATAGGGGTTGTGGTCGTAGCCAAAGTTGTTCCTTTCTGACAACCAGAGGAAACCGCTGAAACACATACACGAAACAGAGTAAGCACCAGCACACAACTATATACTTAAGGGTGCAAAGTTGGCGTTCTAACAAAAGGGCCATTCAATCTTTAAAAAGAAAATGTGTCCAGTAAGTACCTGTCTTTACTGCAGCATCTGAACCAGGGTAGGCAAATTTATTGGATCCGATAGGGGTTGTGGTCGTAGCCAAAGTTGTTCCTTTCTGATAACCAGAGGAAACCGCTGAAACACATACACAAAACAGAGTAAGCACCAGCACACAATTATATACTTAAGGGTGCAAAGTTGGCGTTCTAACAAAAGGGCCATTCAATCTTTAAAAAGAAAATGTGTCCAGTAAGTACCTGTCTTTACTGCAGCATCTGAACCAGGGTTGGCAAATTTATTGGATCCGATAGGGGTTGTGGTCGTAGCCAAAGTTGTTCCTTTCTGATAACCAGAGGAAACCGCTGAAACACATACACAAAACAGAGTAAGCACCAGCACACAATTATATACTTAAGGGTGCAAAGTTGGCATTCTAACAAAAGGGCCATTCAATCTTTAAAAAGAAAATGTGTCCAGTAAGTACCTGTCTTTACTGCAGCATCTGAACCAGGGTTGGCAAGTTTAGTGGACCCGATAGGAGTTGTAGATGATTTTTTCAGACCACCACAAGCGGCCACTGAAACACATACATAGCAAAGTCAGCACCAGCAAACAAAAACACATTACAGTGTGCAAAGTTGACGTTCTCACAAAAGGGCCATCTTATCTTTAAAAAGGAAATGTGTCAAGTAAGTACCTATCTTTGATGCAACATCTGAAAGTGAAGAAAATTTCGCTGATCCTTTCAGACCATCAGAAGAGACTGCTGCAAAACACACACATGGCCAAGTCAGCACCAGCACACAAATACATACTGAAGTCTGCATTCAATCTATACAGTGAAAAAAGGAAATATTTTGAGCACAATACCTGTCTTAGGTGCTGTTTCAAGAACTCTTGCTGGGGAGACCTGCCCTTCTTTAGAATCCATGTTATCATTCTCTAAGTGTGGTGTGTCACAATAGAGAGATGGGGACCTAGATTTGGGCAATGAGTTGGATCTTGATTTACTGCGTCGGCACTTAGGGCTAGATTTATCCCTACTTGATCTGCTTTTACGCCTTCTGGAACTGGATTTCGATCTTTTTCTAGAGCTCCTCCCTCTTGATCTTGATCTAGATGAAGTGGATCTTCTGTGCCGCCTTCGCGAACTGGATTTCGATCTTTTTCTAGAGCTCCTCTCTCTTGATCTAGATGAAGAAGATCTGCGGTGGCGCCTTCTGGAACTGGATCTCGTTCTTTTTCTAGAGCTCCTCCCTCTTGATCTTGATCTAGATGAAGAAGATCTGCGGTGCCGCCTTCTGGAACTGGATTTCGATTTTTTTCTAGAGCTCCTCCCTCTTGATCTTGAGCCAGATGAAGTAGATCGGCTGTCCCGCCTTCTGGAACTCGATCTTCTGGAACTTCTGGACCTCCTCTTTCTGGATCTTCTCCCTCGGGACTGGCTGCCCTGCCTGGACCTGGACTGACTCCTCATTCTAGATCTGCTTCTGCTGCGGGAGGAGGATCTCGATCTCAAACGAGGGGCAAGTGGATTGACCTAAAATTCATGAAATTCATTTAGGTTAAGGATGTTAAAGACTTAAAGATGGTTACTCCCTCCACAACAGCTTACCTCCAGCAAGTTTATCCGTTCCGCCACCATGTTCCTCCAGCCTCCCATCAGATCGACAACTCTGGATTGGTAGGTAGTCAATAGGGATGTGAGGCGGGTTTTTCTGTATACTTCGCGCGGCTGCCGCTGCAAATGTTGATGTGCAGCCCTGACGCGCACCCGCACAGGATCCTTTTGGTCTACCCAGTACTGCGGCATGACAAGATATCGCATTACAGTTAATAATGTAAGGCAAAGGCTGGCAAACAAGTAGATAGGTCGAACTTACCTTTTGCCATTGGGCTACAGTCTTGTCTGACCCCCCAGGAAAACCATTTAGGGCATCTGTGAGACGTTCCCACTTTCTCAAATAATCAGCATGGCACAGTTCTGAAAACTTTTGTCCCTTGCTGAATTCTGGGTTCTTTTCCATAAATGAGAGCAAGTATGTTTTCTGCTCCGGGATTGCAGGTCGAGCATTAGCGACGAAATGAACGTCTGGCGGCGGATTTGGCATCTGCAGATGAAAGAGAGAGGCACTGTGTTTACAAACAAACAGAAGACGAGGTTAAGGCGTCCATCCCTAATTTTGTCTATGGTATTGCACGGAAACCTCCACAAAAATGTAGTTTTTTAAAAATAAATGGATATTGGTGGCAAAAGGACTAAGCGAGGATGCTGTGAACGCGTGCCAAGCTTTTGAGATGTTGGCGAAACGCACAAAATTTGAGCCCGTTCATTAGCATCGACGCCTAACTGCCAGAGCATTAATGTCTTTAAATCAGCCAAATATAATAGCATCGTAAGAGAACACATGTAAAAGTCGCTAATAGGG